CCCCCCCCCCCCCCCCCAAAAAAAAAGCACATTGCATTACTCATAATTCAATAATGATTATGGAATGTATGTTGTGTGATGAGGTTTCTGGACTAAGATACCTTTGTGTGCACCACGTTTCCTCTAATGGCGTTATTTGTCCAGATTTAAACATTTCCCATCCTGCCTGAGCAATCATCGCGCCATTGTCGATGCAGAACCTGCAAAAGAGAATTATTTCATCTGTCTGGTACATCATATCTGTGACTTAGATGCAACTAGTATAAAATATATACATAATATACATATATAACAAAAACAACACATGGACAAGAGTTAATACCAACTGAGATTTGTATGTAAGCTACCCTGGCTATGTGCAGAGTGACTGAAAGTAGCAACTCTATACAGTGCAAGTTGTTAGATACCTACTCGGTTTACTTAACAGTTCTTTTCCTGTTACAACTTGGCTGAAACTTATTCAAATTCATAAAAAATGATTTCTTTTTCATACTACCACAGCTGTCAGTAAGATACCTCATATCTGTGGCAAAAAGCGTGGCCCCTCTCTCCTCAGCCATTTTTCCCATCATCTCCTGCAATCTCTCATTACCTGAAGTTGAAAACAATGCAAAAATTGGATACAACATCTTAATATCAAAACCTTCCTCTCAGTCCAGTAACTGTGGCTGGTACAACTAATCATACTTTGGCAGTTGTATTCATCCTTTACGAAAAAGTCCTATAGGATCCTGTAAGATCCTATAGTAAATTGGCCTATTTTCCTATAGGCTCCTATAGGATCTTACAGGATCCTATAGGGCTTTTTCGTTAGGGATGTTTTCATATATAATGTAGACTGTGCAAAACTACGTACAAGATTTATATTTTAGTGGTAGCACGTAAGTATGTATATAAAATGTAATTAAAGAGCTATAGTATGATTGTTTTTACAAGTCAAAGTATGGTCTTAAAATACTGTTCTGTCAGAAAAAGAAGAAATAGAAACATTTTCCACTGACTAACTGATTCACTTTTTGGTTGACTTTAAATTCACCACCCACTGGGACAGACTTAACCCACCTCAGCAATCAAGTAACCATGATAATTAAATTATCTTTCTTTTTGGTTTCTGAAGTTTCCACCTTAAAAACAGCATAACAATCAATGGCTATATGTGAACATACACTTTCTTTATCTGTGTTATTAGTAAGTTAAACCAGTGGAAATTGTATTTTATTCTATCAAGGATAAATACAATGATAAAAGACACAATGTCTCATTATGTAATATACATTTCTTGTAATCCATATAATTCTATAATGCATAAAATATGAGGTCACTTACACCCCACTCCTCCTACTATGAGAACTTCTTGGGAACCACAGTGCGCCATGGCCCGCTCTGAAAATTAATAGCATAACTTAATGAAGGAATCAAACTATACAGTAAGGCTGACATATATACAGACTATGGTGTTAAGAGAGTTGAAAGAATAATATTTTGATAATTTTAGCAACTTTTACATTTACAATTGGCACAAAAAGAAAAAAATCAGAAATCAATGGCATTAAATAAAGCTGACCTGGTCTCAAATCGAAAGATGTTGGTTTATTTCTTAAAACTTTATGCAATTTTGATGTCAAAATTGAATTGTCTATATAAATATAATACTAGAATAATAAGTTAAATACACTTTCACCAAATCTCTACCTGTGATTTCCACTAGCATAGCAAAAACCGTCTCCTGTAATGAAAAACAAAGGTCTTCTGGGCTGTACTCTCCCTTCTTTAAAATCTGGGGTACTCGCTCCTGCAATTATAATAATGTGGAATTAAAATAATTTGCTCTGAGTAAAGATTATTTGGGTCACCTTGAACATGTATTTATGTTAATTTGAAATTTCTTTTTAATCTTTCAAAAATCCTTTTTTTTTTCATATTAAAGAACCCTGACAATAGCTCAATCACGCTGCAAAGAATGTTTGGGCTTTCCACCCAAAATAGGTTATTTTTCCTGAGGAGAAAATCTCACAATTTTTAAATGTGAGTCAACTCACACTAACAAACATGCCCCTCTCAGTTCCACTGCTCTAACTTTAAATTTCCAAAATGCTTTGATGTAAAAAAAAAAGTAATTTTTTGGGGGCTGCTTTGTTGTGCAACTTAGAAAAAATAACTCATTGTTTTTGTTCTTCATCTCCATTTTACACTAAATGCTTCACTTACCTCAATATATGACAGAAGTCCTGAGAAAGAGACATCCATTCCTTTTACTGTGTATGGTAACTCGAAATATTTTGTGCCTCTGAAAAATAAAGTAAAATAAAATATAACTGCCAGCCAAAGGATTTTTGGAGGGAGAGGGAGTCTTTGATCAAAACTAAAATCCTAAAAAAAAATTGTTCAGTACCTATGCCCAATGGTTAGCTACCTTTTAAATCATCTTTATTATTAAGCAATAAGAGGTGTCACCTCAACTATGGCTCTGATTGGATCCCATTTTCTGAAAGTGAGTCAAATATTATGATTGGATCTCAATTTTTTTACATCGTAATACCCGATTTAGGCTGTGATTAGACCCCCTTTTTTGTCTATCCAACTTTGGTTTTGCTTTGGTGCCATTTCTAAATCTTAACTCTCAAAGTAAAAATGTCAAACACTCACTTTTTTGCCATCTGTTCTATGTTATAACCAGGACTTGGATCATTTGATAGCTGAAGGGGAAAAGAGATAAAAATATATCACCAAGAATCAATAACCAATATGACAACTGATTTTTGATATAAAGAACATAAACACTTCATTTTGGCCAAGTCCTTCATCTCATCATTTATAGACCATGTATTATTTTGAAGATTTAGAGTTAAATAATAATAATAATAATGACAAATGGACGATAACTCGTGTCATATAACCATATCAACTTAGAGATTATGTTATATGTATCAATATATCAAAATGCACTTTTTAAAAACATTTCATTAGACTATGAAGAGAGCTTAACTGTTCATTCCTCACCTTCAGTACTCTTGCAAATCTATCTAAACAGTTTCCCACAGCTATATCTATTGTCTCACCAAATATCCTGTATCTACGCTGAGAGTATGCTATGACCTGTTTAAAAATCAGTACGTCATCTTAAAACTTATTTTTTTCAAAATTGACGATTCAATATTTTTGTTATTTCTTAAAACTTTCCTGTTCCTCTTCTGAAAGTAAGCTTTCACCTTAGAAGAAGGAAAAGGAAAGGAATATACTTCTCAGTATTCCCATCAAATCAAATATTACTTGAAAATTTTTTCTCATATTCAAGAATCATTGCTTTGCATATCTTATACCATTAGGTAATAAAATAATTCAGTTCTAAAGGACTGGTAAAACATTTTAAAAACTATGTCTTCCTATACATGTTAAAGGGAAATAACATTTTTATTTGAGGGGTTTTATATTATTTTATGGTCTGAAATTTTTGAAAGATAAGAAGCTTTTAAATATGGCTCACCTGAGTATTTCCTCCACTAACATATAACACAGTGGGGTTATCAGAACCTGTGATTAAACGCCCCATTTCTATATGTGAATATGGTTAAGAAAAAAAAGAGATAAAGAGACTGAAATGAAACACAAGTAACACACTCCATGGATAAATCTCTACATGTGTGTCCATTTTTACTACCAATATGTTTTCACAATAACACAAATTTATAAATAATAATAATAATAAATCAAGGATATGGCCAATGCAGTGGTTTACTCCTATGATAGGTTTGTTCCACAGCTGTGCCACAGTCCTGGCCACTAGAGCAGTAGACACCAGGGGGGCACCCATGCCTGGACCTGGAAACAGAACACAACTGATATATATAAAACATGAACTGTAGCCATCAATAGGCTTGAAGATGTAATACTTAGAATGTTATAGGGCCTGTTCTGAACACGGGACAGTGTATTCCTTGACTTTGATGCCCAGAATTATAAGGAAAAGAATTTATAAAGGGCGTTGGGTGAGTGGGTTTCTGGCACACACAGTGAGACTGGTTATAGACATCACTTGGCCATCAAAAAATACAGCAGAATTTTGACCTGTCTGTGTTTAAGACAGGCATTCATTTGAAATATATATATACATAAGAGAGAACAAAGCACAAAAAGTTTAAATTGTTATATCAAAGTCTATAAATTGACTGTTTCTGAATACCTTTTGTGTATGCAACAGCATCTATGTCATTGGGATTCAACTTTGCCTGATCTAGGGCCTCCTTTAGCACTTGCAGTACGCAGCCCTGGTGGTGCTTGGCTGTATCACGGGGAAGGAAGCCTAAATAACATACCATATTACAGTAGAATCAAAGTCTAGTACAATCTATATAGCTTGCATTCTAAATTCCATGGATGGCATTCTTCTAAAGTTTTGTCTTTTACACCCCATTTCCATAGATTTTTAGATCGATCTATCCCTGTGGGGAGTCTCACTAGATTACTGTCAGCTTGGCCGGCTTAAGCGTCTGTCCCGCTTACTAAAAGCTGTAAGGGGGTAATTAACTATGGTGCCCGCTCGGCTGACTGCAATTTAGCGTGAACCCCCAGGGAGTTAGGTCGACCTAAATCTTAATCTTTAGATCGATCTAAATCTCTGGAAAAGCACCCTTAGTGATATTATTTGTGGATGAGTTGACGTTTCTTTTGAATTTACATCTATATAGCAATACATGAATCAGAAGTAAAATCTGTAAAATATTATTATTATCATGCAATTTAACAGTCATATTCCTCTACCCTGGCATTGTTCAGGCATGTATTCTTTTTACAGTTATAGTTTCGCTCCAAGAGGCTAATTATTTGGTCTAAGAGCGCATTCTCAACGAATTAAGCCAGGCTTTACAAAGCCGGTGACCTAAAAATGGCGGACGTACATGAAAGAAAAACCGCCTAATCTTTTAATAGTCTCTCCGCCTCCCCACACGCCGTCCCTGCGGGGTACAGTAATTAAATCGCGTCTCCGTTCGCCATGCGGAAGCTACCTGAGAAATATTAAGTGTGCATGCTCATCAGTTAAACTCGTGGTGAAGAAAGCATGGCGGCTGAAGGCAATCGAAGGAAAAAAGCTCTTCTGTTCTATTATCTTTGAAAACAGAGACGAAAAAGGAATAATTTGGCCCGTAGAGCAGCAATGAATCGACTATCTACGGAGATAACATCACCAGAGATATTCACGGAAATATTAATGTTCGGAGCCGAGATTTAATTACTGTACCCCACAGGGACGACGTGTGGGGAGGCGTGTGGGAGGCGGAGAGACTATTAAAAGATTAGGCGGTTTTTCTTTCATGTACGTCCGCCATTTTTAGGTCACCGGCTTTGTAAAGCCTGGCTTAATTCGTTGAGAATGCGCTCTAAGAAGCCTAACTTGAAGTTACCAACACAGCGAAGGTTCTGAAGTCTGTAAAGTAAGCACTTACCTTGTCCCGGGGGAGTGATATATGTCCTGCGTGGATTTGACAGGACCACTCCATCTTGGATAATACCAACTCCTATCTTGTTGGCACTTCCTTCAAACCCTATAACTACCACCATTTTGGAGTGAGCCTAGGAGAGGTAAGAGTTAAAATTTCTATAATTCTTTACCAAAAGTTTCTATTATTTACTCATTATTAAAATATAACTGAAAATAACAGGAAACTAATTGTTCATACTCCACTTTGTTACAGTATGCACTGTAACAAAAACTGTACACATAACTCAAAACTAACACATCTGATATCTTTTTGGACTTACGCATTTCTTTGGCAACATATCAACACTCTTGCAAAATCAAGTCTGACACTCAATTTCAGTTCCAACTTCTACTCACGTATAAGCCGCAAATTAATGTTTAAACTTCTTAGTTTATACTTACTTGTCGTCTAGGGTTAATTTTCACGTCCTTTCACAGAAATAATGATATTAAATTTACATAAGGACTTGTTCGGCAGACTTACATGCAGACTTCCACTGACAAGCGGTGTTCAAGCGTTGAACATGTGCTCAAATGGGAGAAAAAGGCAACCGATATACCTTATCTTCTCTACCGCAATCAGGTCAGATGAGCTCAACTGCCACATTCAGAATTTCTACTTCGTCCAAAATATTTTAACTCTTTCCGTTTTTTTTTTTTTTTTTTTTTTTTTCTCTATACAAAAATATAAAGATCTGTTTTTGTGAATGTACTGGTTAGATTACAATATGAATTGAGTGAAATCTTTCTAGACTCTAACCAATATCACCTAGATAACGAAACAACGTTTGTCTAAAAAAAAAGGGGAACCATTATTTTGTCTTTTTTCTGTCTTTTTTACCTGAATAAACGAATTTTCAACTTAACACTGAGCAGGTCCTACCTTTCGTGCTAAAGGTACTTTAAATGGAAAATCTGTAACGGTCGTTAAACATGAGTAGTTAAACATGAATTAACTTATGGGAACATTTACATAGGCTGACGAAGTACAATTCAAATTTGATTTTTCAGTTGATTGCAATTTAGCAAGAATCCCCTCGGAGATAGATCGATCCACAGTTAGTACGATAGGGTCTGGAAATGGTCCTTCAGTCGATTATGATGAGCAGTGCGTTCTCTGATCACAAAATTATAAAAATAAAATGAGCTGTGCCTTAACAAAATAAAAAACAACACAATTTACCTGTTGGTTTGGGGGGGGGGGGGAGCGCGGAGGGTCAAATGGTTGGCAAAACTTCTCGCTTCATTGGGGGGGGGGGGGTCTGTGCGTGTGTGTGTGTGTGTGTGGGAAGGGGGGTAACGCAGAAGAAGAGTTTGAATTCAATAAGAAAAATTCTCTTCAAATCGTATCAAATTTCCTTGTAAGACGAGTCTTCTTTAGATATGTTAGACGGGGCGAATTACAGGTATACCACACGCATTTGTATATGCCTTTAAAGTCCTATTTTATACTTAAACGTATCCGCAAAGCTACCATTTTTCAAAATTTTCGAATCTTAAAAACTACAAAATCCCTTCGTCATTTAGAACTGGATAATTAATTTATAATCAAATCCAAGTGCAGGGATGAGTCAAGCAATGATACATGTGCAGGTGCAAATTCCTTTTTTTCAGGAAAATTTGATTCGGCCCGAAAATACTCGATGAGCTAACTTTAATACCAGAAATTAGTCAAACACGTGTCATCATACGATCAAGACTATTAAGCTTGACAAGGTACATGTGCATCGTGGTTTCTTTATGACACCGCCATGTGCACTGTGACATCTGTGTCATTGATGTTCTCCAATATCTCGAAATTTTCATTCCCGTCGAATCCTCAAGCTCGGGGGTACAATTTCAAAGCCAAGGAAGCGATTTCATGAGTTGGACAAAGCTGATTTTTTATTTGATTATTTTTTCCAAGGAAGTGCAAGAGATTAAATTCCATGGTATAACATACGCAACATGTATGTATATAATAAAATATGCCATTTTTATCTTTTGCAGAATCAAACTTTCGTCAGTTTTCGATGCCAAATAAGAAGGCTTACTAACAATGGTAAGACATCGAATACTAGTATTTATCATAGAAGTTTTTTCTACTTCTTTGTATATATGCAGAAGACGGTTGTGTTGGATGCAATGTGTGGAATGGATACCCCGTTTACGCTTTGGTTTTATTAGTGGTGTTTTATTGAAAAGGGTGGAGCTGACAAAAAATCAAAGAAAAAAGTGCCGGGAGCAATAATGAAAAAGCAACATTCTTATTATTTATTTTTATCTATCCACAATTTTCTTGAACATTTATCTTTTTTCAAATGGATGCGATCTGAATTTCTACGCCGATCAATGTGTCGTCTTATTATCCAGCACGATATAAATCTTGGTCATAAAATGTTTTCATATATATATAAATATATACCATGCACCTTTCTTTATTATTTTTAGATTAACTGAGTCGTATTCTTTGTACATACGAGGCCTATTTTTCATATTGTACATGCTCACTAGGATCCAACATATTCATCTTATGCTTGATCTTAGATGCTCATTATACATGTAGTTATTAGGCCATAGCCTCTTGGGACTTTTTTCATTACCTTTTGAATTAGGGTTAAAAAAAAAAAGATAAGAAAAATAATCTAAAATGTTTCACTTATTTGCTTTCCTCCCTCATGATTTAAGTTTTGTGCCATTAGATTGTCACACATTTGTATTTGGCTGCTTGTTTTATAAGTGACAGTACTCACATATTGCTATTAAGCCAAACACACGTGTCCACACGGCCACGCATTGTATGCATGCCATGGTAAGCGACAATCCAATCATAAACCGCAAAACAAATAAACTCAAAAGTTGTCAAAGATAACATTTTTAAGCACACTTTTCCGTTCTTTTCTTTCGCCTTCTTCCTTTTGCTTATCTCGACGCGGCCCAGTTTAATTTGCTATTCGCTTAGAATCCTTTTATCGCCCGAGTGGCAATATACAGCAGAGCAGATGTAACATCTTTTGTTGAACCCAAGAACTTCAAAGCTGATACTACACGAAGTTGTGCCAGGCGGCGAAGTGTAAGAAGACAGTATTATTGCCTGAGTATTAGATTAATAAAGGTATTTTGTTGACGGTTAATGTTTACTTGCGCTTTGCTACACGTTGTTTATTCTGCAACCTTATTTCCTTGCGAACCCTTTACTCTTTCACAGCCTGTTTTTACGACTTGTTTTGATATGTGTACTGTTGAAATTAATTTACTTATATTACTGTTCCACACTCAAGATTAATGGCCCAAATGCTTTATCTGAGAAAATGCTAGCAAGGTGAAAAAAATGCTCAAGTCTATTAAAGAAAATAAGAGAATATGGTTATCCAAAGAAAAACACACAGATTTATTCCATCGACTCATTCACTGAATAAGGACGGTAAACGGTTCGCGCTCGCCATTGTCGTATCGCTAGGTCGGCCGGCCTGTGATCTTTTGTTACGCGCCAACTTTATTCTCTGCTCCCCTGGCTTTAGTACGCTATAAAAAGCCCTCTTTAGAAAGCGCTTGAAATATTTATATTGTGGCGGCCTGATCTAAAGGTTGAATAACATGAATGGGAGGAGGTAATAAAAGCGAATAATAGAAATCTCAAACAATAGGCTTCAGGTTGGAGGTATAACACTGACACTCTTGATTAAGACCGGTAAGGGAGGAGAGGTAAAGCAATTATTCTTGATAGTGAATTAAACTCAGTGGAATTTGACCTTGATGCAGCAAAAAAATATAGTGTATAAAAACTGAAATATTGAACGACGGTGGCAGAGATAGAATCAAGTGCGTTCCCATCAATATCGAACGCTTCGTGTTGTTTAAAACAATCTAACACCCCTTGTGTTAAATCCTTTGACCCAGCTGTCAATCAAACCGAAATGAACGAGCACTCTACCCCGCCCCCTGTAGTCTTTTCATAGTACAGCGCACACCATTGCGAAAGGCTAGCAATTACGCAGGGGAAACTCCAAGAAAATACAACGATTTCACGGATTTGGATTTACCTAGGATTTACCTGGAATAGGATGTAGATGTGAGAGAGAATTGTGGTTGTATGGGAACTTTGCAGAATGGGCAAATTCCAAAGCAAACATGGTAAGTTGGTTGACCTCTGTCGGTGTGTTCCACCTCTACACTTCCTATGTATACTTGACCATTCCGCCGTCAGGCAGCTTCGCTTTCAACCCATGTTTTCATTATAGATAAGGTCGATATTGTATATAAAATTGACGAATTAGTGACTAATGCCATCGTTGTCTTTGTTTCACGCACAATTCACAGCCACAGTTAGTCGGAATATTAGCCGTGAAGGTCCGGACGGACAGCATGGTAAGTCTTCTAGGTGTTCGTTCGCCATTGCCTTGTGTCAGTGGGTTAACAAGAGCGGAGCCAGTGTGGTAGCCATCGTGGCTAGCGCCCTAACGGGTCACTATACTCAGACTAGATATTATCCCAAATTATCACAACAAAGGTCCAGGCATATAATCGGTGCTTTAATCAGTGCTTGCTGTATATGCTAAGCCAGTGTCAGTATGAATGCAGGAGGTGAGGGCAATTTGTAGATAGTACAGATATCCGTGTTGGATTGGAGGGGGGGGGGGGGGGGGATACTACCGTAGGGATAAAAATATTGTAAATATTATGATTTCCCCCACCCAGGGGTTGTCCCTTTCAGCTGTGCTTTCATATATCATTGATTTGTGGGTTTTCAAATGAGTTGTCGATAAGAAATTATTTAAGGAGGCAGCCCATTTCTTTTGACATTTGTGGCAAAATATAGATTTCAGTTTAAGTAATTGGTTAATCAATTAATATGGCGTTGCCCTAAACAATACCATGATCTACTTTTCCATTGGGCACCTGTTTGTTGTTATTTTAACCTGGACCTTATGTTGACATTTCATTGTTTCAGTTGTTTCTGCTTTCTAAAGGTTATATCAATGTATTACACTTACTGTATAAGAGATGTAGTAAAGCTATACTCTCTGTTTGGATGAAATTCTTCCTGATATAATTAAACGAATATATAGAATTATGTGGATGAGTCAGTTGAACTGTTTTACATAAGACGGATAAAAAGTTGTGCTATATGAGCATTGAGGTCCAAACAAACCCATCAATCTTTTTTTACAAGGTGATAATATACGTCTAAGTAAAGTTCATGTAATCCGTTCCTTTTTCCTCTTCAGGGGAATATTTCATTGTTAACGCCAGTTTGCCTTCACCTGTAAACAAAGCTCTAGAGGAACAGTTATGGCAGCGACAAGTTACAACGTCAACTGGATATAACCTCGCTGCATACAACTTAGACAGAGCTTCGGTAAGTAAATGCTGGGAGTAAAAAACAAGTCGAGAAAGAAACAGCACTTCTCAATTCTGAGTGGTCTTAAAAGCACCTCTCAGCTTAAAAAGAACATACTAGGTTAACTGTTACCATTTCGCAAGTGCCTTTGATGTTCGCACCCAGTGAGAGTTGGGAATGAGTTTTCCACACTGAGCCTTCTGTTGGAAATTAGTTCTCATTCTTGAAAGAGCCGTCTTGAATGGAAAAGCAGCTGCTCCAAGGAGGGAACATGGTTTTGTATATTTTATGAACTCTTGTGGTTATCACTGCCAGCTGTTGGACTCTAATATGGGAAGGGTCCTTTCGACCAGGTCCCACATTTTAGTTCTAGCCACTGGAACATGCTCCCTGGGTTACCATAGTAAGGTCTAATAGCCTAGTCACTTCTCCATTCTGATATCACACTCACTCCACTTGCATCTCTCTGTGATGACCTGCATTTGCATAACTGGTTGATTAAAATAGCTTTCGGTTGAAAAAGGAATGAGAATATGAG